TTTTGCATATTCATTAACTGAATATTGTGACAATTGGGGGCTGGACATTGACACACTTTGTTGCACCAATTGAAACAAGAAGGTCCGAGTTTCAATTCCCGGAACTGAAGTCTTACTGCATGGGGTTTGCATGTTTTCCCTGTTCATGCATCTGTTCTCTTCAGGTATTCTGGTTTCTTCTCTTGGTTGACTAGCGTCTCTAAATCAGTGTGTTTTTGTACCTGGTGGTATTTATCTGCCCTGCATTGGACTGGTGACCTGTCCAGGGTGTATCCACCAGCCCCCTGTCACCCTGACAGAAGAGAAACAGCTGAAGATGGATGGATATTCATTAAATGCTTATATTAGGAGCACATTGATTTTATATTTTTTTTTAAAGATTTTAAGAATTTCTGGTTTAGGATTGAGGCTCACAGCACCGTTCGGGCTTTTCTCTCTTTCAAATAAAGGCAACCAGTGATAAATATAGCTTGTACATTATGAGGCAGTGGATGCGTATTTCTGGTTGTACATTTATTTTAAGATTTGTAGTAACATTTTAACTCCAAAGGATGAAAAAGAGCATCTGAGTAAGTGGTCAATAAATCCTAATTTCAAGCATTTAAACAAACCTGTAACAACAATTATGTCACAAGATTTATCCAGCTCCCTTAAACTAATGTACTACTTCCTTTATTTGACAGTGGAAAAAAGCATTTGCTGTTTAATTTGACCTCCTCTAGGTTCAGATAAGGCTCTGATTTGGTTATACCTTTTGTATCTTACACCAAGGTGTAGTGTAAACTTGTGGATGATGTCAAGATCCAATGATCTTAGGTTAGAAAAGACAGCCGGCCGATAGGTGTTTAACTGTTTATGACATTTTCCATTTATTCACCTCATGCTCTTGTTGCCAAAGCAACAGGCTGAAGTTAGGATGACATCACAGAGATATTTTTTGTTTTGTAAGAAACACAGATCACAGGAGTGGAAAGGTATATGACAAATCCAAACCAATTGGATTAGGCATTAGAAAAATCACAGTATGTTTTAAATTTCAGTGTGTTTCAGGAAATTTACAAGTTCTTGATTGCATAAACAAACTTTTGTAGGATTTTTTTCTAAACATTTGTTTTATATGTTTATTAACAAGCCTAAAATGTATGTTTGGACTTTAATATATTTTCTTTACTTCCTGTATTACGTTTTAGATTGACCAGCTTTAGTTTTTTTAATCCTTATTTTGTTCCTACCTATTAACTCCTTGCGGAAAGATTTATCCTTCCTTTCTGGGACTGTTTAGATTTTGGATCCTGAAGAGCTCTGATCTTGGTAATATTGGTTGATATTTGTTAATTTACTGTATGTTGCTGTCACACTGCTTCTTTTCTACCCTGTACTTCCTGTTCCGCATCTCATGTTGCCATAGCAGCAAACCTTTTTCCTCTCCTACACATTTTTAGCCTTACTTTCAGTCCTGCATAGATAATAAATAGAGAGCTACTTTTAGATTTTAATTACAAGCTCATTAGTTGGGCATAGGTATATCCCTGTATTTTACCTATTGCAGGGGGGGCCTTTTTTGTCTCCTGTCTCCACTGTGCTCAGGCTGGTTTGGATCATGGACAGCAATGTGAGCATGCTCTCTACAGCCACTGATTGTTCTGTTCTGTTTTTCTCAGACAGTAATTAGTACCCCCCCAATGGTCCCCTCTTCAAACTTTTGGAAAGGGGGTTATTTTAAAAACTTCCAAGCTCGACATAAGTCTGTTATTTCTTTGAAAACACATTACTTAAACTTGGAAAAGTACTGTGGATTCCTCCTACTCTTTTACCCCCTGCAGATATACCATTAGGTTGTTCCTAAAGACCGGCTGACGGCTCTCTGGTACATGACAAGCCTTTCATCATTTTTTAGTTCTGAACCAAGGTCACAGCAAACTTATATGTTGGCTTCTGACTTTATTTAATGTTTTTCTATGGAGTTCAAATTCCTAAAGGAATGTGGGGAGTAAGATTACAATGCTTAAGTTTTTAATTAATAATAGGTTCTAACCAGGAATTAATCAAGTGCAGTTTATTGGCCAATAATTAATTTTTAAAAAGCCACACCTACTAATTCTATTTTGGCTGATATGGATTTTTATTTTATTGCTGACCCTAAGCACGTTTCTATTAACCATCAAACTGCAGAAATTGTAATTATGGAGATAAATTTGCGAAATGAATGATGACTGAATAAAAAGTAATTTATTTCAGACAATTTTGACAAACAACAATAAATGAATCAACCAAATGCACACAAAATAGACTGGTTAACATCAAACCAAAAACCAATTTCCAAACTAACTAAATTCACATGAATAGAAGCAAAACCATCCATCAAATACACCTGTCGGTATAGACATCAGAGAACTGAATGGATTAATGAAAATTCTCATAAAAGGGGTATGAAGAGGTACAACTTACTTATCATACCCCCTCTCCCTCTAATAGCACTTAAAGTAGAGTAACATACCTTTTCCTTTATATTGTAAATGCTATAGTAACTCTAGAATTGTTAAAGGTATCATGGAGGATTTTTTAAAAGACCCTCCCTCTCCACTTAAAAAAAAAAATATGTGTGCAAGAGCTTGCACAAGCCCATTTCTGCTGATGCATACCCTGTTTAAAATATGCGGTTGTCAAAGCTCATACAAGCGTACTGTGTAGTTTACAGCGGGGACAATATAGTAGACTTTATAGCAAACTCAGTTAACTGACCTTTCGGACAGATGATCACTGCTTTTTGCTCCGTTGGTCACGTAATTCCTCCTCCCCACGGTGCCTGCACCATCTTTGTTATTAGTCGCCGCTGTCGGGTAGCGACAGCCTATGGCGACAGTGCGCCGCTGAGACAGTAAATCTCAGAATGCTTTCCACGCAAAGCATTCTGGGATATATCTGCCTCTTCTGAGGCCTTTTTTTTCTTCTCACACACTTCGTAGAGACTTTTTCTCTTACGACTCTCTGCAATTTTCAGAAAAGAAAAAGAAAGGTGAGCTTCAATAACTGGCTGAAACCGTAGCTCACCATGCACAGATAAAGAGAGCTAACAGGGCGAACACATAGTCGGTCTTACATAAACATATCACCAGAATGATTGACAATGAGGAGGACCACTTATTTAGATGATGCACCTGGAAATAAAAGATCATCCTCTATACCTTTAAGCAGCTCTGAATCTTCCAAAACATTGTCAAGAAGGATAAAAAGTGACCAGAAGAAATTGTGTCCTACTCTCCTTCTCTGTGGTTTATTGTTTAACAAGTAACAACAAGGACTTGTCTCGTAGAGCACCTGCTTGCTTTCATTTTTAATTTAAACCAATGCTCCTTTTAAACTGAGTACAATGGTCTTTTGAGTAATAATGCGTCTTACAAGGTCACACTTAAGTTATATTTCCTGCCTTTAAAATTGCATCCCTGTTACTGCCGATGGTTTCTGGACATGCTGTAAGTACCTGCAAAAAAAGGGTAATTATTTACTGCACAGTTCACAGTGCTATAATTGGAAACTCTATTGAAGCTGTAAATACAGCCCTCGCCCCTCTGCTGTCACTGCAAGGGTTCCTTTTTTCAAAGTTTGGCCAGCCACACACATTATTTACCTGGCTTACTGTCAAGTCGAGATTCAGTTTTAAACGGCTTCAAAACTACCAAGAAGAAGTAAAAGGAGCGTGAGGCAACTACTGCACAGAGGTTTTAGTTGATGTCCTGCTTCCTGGCTCACTGCAGTGAAAGGTCGATAGAACATCGCCAACTGCTGCTGAGGAATGGTCAGCTACACATCTCTTTTACGACATCATGAAAGTAAATGGATTTGTTTGGATCTGCACCTAATTTGAAATGCAGCAATGAATCAGCCTGTTACAATGTAGCTGTGAGCTCCGAAGTACCTTCTACAATAGGGAGGGATCCCACTTGGGTTTTGATAGAATAGTAACCTAATCTATTATTGATGAGTACACTCTTCCTCTGTTACTTTTTGTTTGTTATTAGATCCAACAGTGTTTGTAGATTTATCTTTTAGGATAGCTTATTAGTAATGTGTAGAATGTTGGTTTTTGAAGCAGCTAATAGGATACATGGGCTTTGCTTTTCAAGCTTTCAAACATGTTGCTATTCATATTTTTTAAAGGCAAGAAATACATTTGCTCACAAAAATGTGAGAATTGTTTCCTGCATTTGAAACCAACCAACCCAGATGAATACTTATTTCAACCACCTTTTCAGCAATGACAACTGTAAATCATTTAGAGTCCTTTTTGCTAAATAGCTTAAATTTAATCAGATTGGATATAGTGGGTCTAAGCAGACAGGTCTTGAAGTCTTGTTACAAGGTGTCTTTGGATGTAGGTCCTGTCTTTTATGTTTTGATCTTAGTAGTTTAGCTATAGTTTAGGTTGAATGTTTTGTGTTTTATTTCCTACTTGTAGATAAAGCTATACCTGGTATTTATCTCCAAACATCTTCACAGCAGCACTGACTGGCTTCCCTGGAACTGCTGAAGGAAAGCCTCCTTAGAGCATGATACTGATGCTGCCATGTTTCAGGAATACTGGAGTGATGCATTTAGAGTGAGGTTTATCATTTGTGAATAAAACATTGAATCCTTTATCCTTCTCCTTTCACTTAACAATTAAACTATTTTTGGTTTGTCTTGTGTTATCACATGGATTCCCATTTGTATGGCTAAGTTAAGATGGTATGGAACCTGCAAAGCACTATTCATTTGACATTTTACATAATCCTAAGGATCTTAAATTGTTCTGACTTAGCATGTAGGTTTCTTCTACAGTAAATGAAAACATTGAACTTTTCATTCTGTAAAATGCTCTATGGAGTGTTATGTGATTTATTGGATCCTCTAACACCAAGTAGGCATATACTACAGTTACTTCGATATATTGACAGGCAGCATGTTTACAATGTGACTGAACTAAAACAGTTAAAACTGAGATCCCTTTCTTTTATCTGCAGGTTAACAGGATTCACCATCCCTCCTCCTGTTACAAGTTCTGACTCGGTTTTTTCCTTGAGGCTTACCAGTGACTTTGCAGTAAGCGCTCATGGATTTAAGGCAGCTTATGAAGGTAAGAACATCATCATTTCTTTTCTTTGACTCCTACCTAGCCTTTTACATTCAATAGACTACTCCTTATACATGGGCCCCCATTTATAGGATAAATCCATCAACATGGGGAATAGAGACCACTTATTCCAGAGAGAGAAAGGTGTGATCACACTTAATTTATCTGATTTTCTCTGGGACCTCACTCTTAAATTACAGAACACTTAGCCACTTGAATTAGGCAAATCCTTCTCCTATTTTCTAAATCAACATCTCTTCCCCCTAAAATGTCTTGCTACCCTAGAGGTGCATCTAATATTGCAAAGCAGGTGGTAGAGGGAATTAGTTTAACTAATTGATGTACCAAAATATCTTTGTAAAAATAAAGCTGTTTGTTGTGGAGGAATTCCTACAAATGAATCATCCCTTTGTGATCACAGACCTCTGGATCTGGTGTAATGGTTTGCTTTTCTGTTGTTTTTCAAGTCCTGTTTGTCTTCTTGTTTTTTCTCTCATTCCAAGTTTGCTATATCTCCCTCCTTCTTACCCTTTTCATTTCTTTTCAAACTTAATGTTCTGGTAACTTTTTTCTTCGCAAACAGCTTGAACCTTTAGTCTCGTTTCGATCAACCTCCCTACCTCTCTTTACTACATTCTTCTTTGCAAACCTGCCCCAGAGCTTGCCACTTTAACCTTCATCCCAGCCATCTACCCTATTACAAATTGTCTGTCCTTTGAATTCTTTCCATCTGTCTCTTTTCACTTATGGATTATTTTCTGTCTAAAAAACTAATCTGAAAGGCTGAAAACAGTAAAACTCAAGTTTAAAAATGTATTCTGTGGTAATTCATTTATGTTATTGTGTTGTTGGTTGAAATTAAAATAGAAGCAAGGTCGTCCTTTGATATGTAGCTTTACTGTAAATACAGTCTTTAGACAATGATTGGCTGAGTCAAAGGGATGCACCTGTAGGCTGGAGCAGAAGCGTGTGAGGCAGTTAAGATAGCCTTCCTGTTGAATTTACACCTAGGCTTTATCCCTCTGAAATTGAGGGAATCAGATCAATGCTTGAACGAAAGCTCTATCATGCAATGCAGTGCTTATCTTTTTTTCAGGATATCACTCATTTTTAAATTGCCTAGTGTGGCAGCATATCATCCTGATCGGAGCATAAATTCCTGCAAGTCCAATGCCTCTTTAAAATGATGTTTAAGTCACATCAGTTATGTGGTTTATACTTTAAACTCAGAATAGAACACTATAATGATAAGTTGCTTCATGAGTTAGAAACTCATATATGTGCATATCATTAAGGTTAGGACAGCCCATTCTAGAAGCTTATGTCTTTATGATTAGAACACCCTTAATGTGTTTAGGATCATTGTTCTCAGGCAGTACCTAATGTTAAAAAATTAAATGGAGTTGTTAGTACAAGGTGAATTGCTGACCTAAATTCTATTGAAAATGTATGAGATTTTCCTAAAAAGGTAATGAACGAATTTCTAATATAAAGTGTGGTCAAATTTCCATCTAAAATTACAGCAGACATGGGTTGGTTGCTGCAAAACTAATGTACAGTATAGAATCCCTGCAACTTGCTTTTGGGCGTTTCATTAAATATGGGGAAGGGATAATGCTTGTAGTGAGATCTTTTGGAATCGTACAAGATTAAAAATCCAAATAAAATAAAATCAAAGTAATAATGGTACAAATTATTCTTATATCAAAACAGTGGCGAAGTGTTTTGTATTGCATTATATTTTGTGATCGATTTATTGTTTATTTAAGTGTTTAAAAAAATGCATTAAGCAATTAAAAAAAAATATAGAATTAATAGTTAAAATTCAACCCATATAAATAATTTTTTAAAGAGTTTTAAAAGCTGACATTGATCAGTCTTCAAATGCTAAGTAGCAGAGTAGCCCTAACAGTAATCTTGCTGTGGGCTCAGAAAGAGGTCAATAGCAAATCTAAAGCCGGGCATACACTGTAAAATGTTTTGCCCTTTTCAGGCAAATTTTCCAGTCGTGCGTACATTTTTTTCAGTTGGGCCGAGTTTCAGCCTTATCTTGCGTCCTGCATCATGTAGTATAAAGGGGGTAACGAGGGGCTATCAGCCTTCCACAACCACCTCCCAATCAGGAATCGTAAGGTCAGGAGAAAATCAAACATGTTAGAAGTTCAGTCAGCCATCGTGAGGTGTTTTTGGACAAATCCTGCTGCTGAAGCAGAGCTACGAGCATCTACGAGCCGATTTACCAGAACCTCGAACACTGCGCATGTGCAAACAAAGGAGTTCTTCTTCTTCTTCTTCCAGATTGACGAGTCTGACCAGCACCATCTCTCGGCGCTGAGTCCGATGGGTGGTTTTTAGACATGCATTTTGAGCAGGTAGATCACATCAAAGCATCTGGCCACACAGTGTGAGAACATACATTGTGAGCTATGAACTTTTAAACCCTGCGATTTCATCATACAATTTGAGTATGTGGAGCTTTTGGAGGACCCAAATGCAGAGATGAGGGAGGCAGAGATGAGTTCTTGTCGGTTACATGTCTAAAAGTGGCAACTGAAGCAAAAATCTAAAATAACAAATACAGACCACCAAAAATCTGGGAGACATCCAGGAAAATACAAATGAGGAGCCAGGAAACAACGAGAAACCAGCAAACAGTGACTGAACATGAGGCGTATAAATGGGAGACTGAACAAAGAACAGGCTAATCAGCAGATCGGAGCAGGTGTGGACAGAGGAATCTAGGTGGGAGCTTGGGGGAAAAAAACTGACACAAGAAGGCAATCAAGAAATACCTAAGAACTCAAATACAATCAAAAGTAACTAGAATAACACAAAATGGAAATGAAACCAATAAAACTAGAATACACAGAATGACATCAAGTATCACTGAAAACTTAAAAAGAAAACTTAAACACAACAAAAAAGTGCAGTCATTAATTGATCTATTAACTAAAAATAACATCTTAAAATCATCTCTGAACATCAATTCAAAATTCAAGACTTTGAGTAACATATTTGTTCTGGTGAGGACACCAGCTGCTGTATTTTGACCTTGTTTGTGGGGGACAATGCTAATATTTCTCCAAGGTTTGGTCAATAAAAGGGATTTGGAAATAGATCTTAAGTTATATTAATCATGAATATTGATTGCTTTAAAAATGGCTGAACAACAGTTAAAGTAGTAACCAGGGGAACCAGGAATTAATATTACATCAGAAGATAAAAATGTGGAAATATTTCTTAAAAGTCTTGTTGTTAAAAAATTTGATAGAGAGGAAGAAGACTTCATGCCCTTAATTATCAAGTGAGATTGATAGAGTGGAAGAAGTGAGTCAAAAATCTTCCTTTTCACTGAATAATGAGAAGAACAGTTGGAGGAGAAAATCTGCTCTAATACGTCAGAAAAAAAGAGCATAAGGATGCCCGTCTTTCCACCGATGACATTTAATTCGTAATAGAAGAATAATAAATTAAGGAATCAGTGGTCCTAAACAGTAGCTTTTGATTGTGAGGATAAGAAGCAATACGTTGGGAGAAATATCCAGCATTTCTTTTTTTTTTCTTTTTTTTTACTATTTTATGTATTTTTTTTTGTTGTTATTTATCATAAAATAATTGGAACTCAGATTAGATCCTTTCCATTTTTGCTTGGCCTGCCAAAGTGTCCAAATAAATCATAAAACCCGAAATTGATTCAGACATTTACTGTTTGCTATGTCTGTACCTACAGTTTTGACTGACACTAAACATATCAGGAATTTTCAGATTCCTTTTCATGTATTTTACAGTATAACATTGACATAGCTCAACACCAGAGTATCCACAGTGTTTCTTTGACTTTTATATTACCCCAATGGGGTTTAATACAAGTTATGGAAAGGGAGAGAGAGATTTTTTCATTGTTTGCTATCAGCAATTACTCCTTCTTGTGTAACTAGCTTAAGAAAATATAAAGGATTGTAAGTGAGCATGTTGGACTTCTTTAAGTTAATAATTTAAATACAGAAAAATGGCCGAACCACATCCATAAAGTATTTGCTATGTGCAATACAGAGCCTCTCACTGCCTAAGCCGTTTTTGTTAATGTTAAAGTTCTTAGGTTCGTCTTTCACATGACTATGGATGTGCTGCTCTTTCTTATGACAAAAAACTGTGAGGCGCTTTAAGGGTGTTAGAGATGATTCAATCTTGACCAGAATTGGATTTTAATCTTTCCTCTACAAGGACGCAATGAAGGACACATTCAGACTGAATCTAATTTCTCAATTGGTTAGTCGATGAATTGAGCTATTCTGTGAAATGTTTTAGTGATAAGAACGTACCTTTGAAACTTTTTTGCTCGTTTAGAGAACAGTGATGGCTGCAGAGATGCTTAAAGGATTCAGTTGCTTTACTTAAGTGTTGAGCCTTTTATGGAATGCAGCCTGGCAACGGAGGCTAATGCTAAGATATTTGTATATATCTGACAAATTCTCCATACAGCATGGACTTGACCTTTGGTGATGCTGGCATATATTTGTAATGTAAGCATTGCAGGAAAAAACCTTCTAAGATAGAACCTGTCGATTTTTAAGACATCTGACCCATAAAATGTGAAATCATCTTTGTTGCCTAAATCAAATTGTTTGTGTCACTGCAGATTGTCCGTTGAGCCAGAAAAGTGTTTGTCTGCATGTAGGAGCATGTGTTGTTTACCAGCTGCTTTGCAGTAAGATCTTACACAGCTTCAGTCAAAACTCTTTTTTTTCCTCCCCACCTGCATGAAAACGTCTGCTCATCTTAGCAACCAGTGAAGCATCTAGCTGGGAAGTCAGTCTACACAGGCAGCTCCTGTGGGAAAAGTGTGTGCACAACACTGCGACTCCGTCAAACTTCCATCTTCTTCAAAGGGCTACAGAGTCATTAGATATACTGCTGAAATAAATAGCTCACCCCAGAGAAATCTCAAACTGAAATTCCTTATTCACTAGTTCACATAACTCACTCCTTGCTACTGTTATTCA